CCCCCGGCCCCGCATCCGCAGCTATCCCGGCCCCCCCAGTGGTGGGTTTGGCCAGGGGGGGGTTCTGGGGTGGGGCACAAAACCCCATTTTTGGGGTTTAGCCTACGGGGTGCGCGCTCTCGCTGCACACCCCCCACTATTTTTATTTTTGTTTTTTCAACTTTTTTGAAGTTTTTCAAGTTTTTTTTAATTTTTATTTTATTTGTTTTGGCGGCGGGGGAGTCCAGAGCCGGGGTTGGGGGTGCCCACCCCCGGACCCCCGGACCCCCGGACCCCCGCCGGGGCCCCGGGGCCGGGGCTCGACAACCTTGATTGTGACCAGTATCAGTTGGTCTGCTACTGAGTAATCATGTGACTGAGTATAATGATATAATCATCATGAGTACTAATAAGTAGTAATAATTAATTAGCGATAACCAATCATTGGGCTTCTGTGTGTCAATTGGCTCAGCTGGTCCAGGACGAACCTCAAGGCCATGGATGGTGCACCAGTTCCTTCAATGCATGGCAGCTGCGAATGTCATCCTTCAGGTTAACAAGCAATTGGCATTCCTTTCTATACCCTTTCCCATTCTCCCTGATTTTTAGAGTCTGTGCAATTGGGTCAAGACTCAAAAGGGTTGTTCTTGGGGTTATGATTTATCTCCCGCACCGTATCCCCCTTGCACCATGCCATGGTAAATTGCAGACAGGAATCCCATCTCACACAATCAGACAAGGGATTTTTGGGAAAAGAAAAAAAAAAGGACTTCCCCTTCCATTCAATTTGCAATTCTCGTATTGGATCTCTACTTTTGCAGCCTTGATTGCTTGTTTTGAACTGGCCCATGCTATCCTTTAACCTCTCTCCTTCTCCTCCTTTGGCATCCCCCCATTGTATTCTAGTCTCGCAGTGCTGGATGGTTTCTGTTCATCTCTCTGCTTCTATTCCTCCTCTCCTTGAATGTCCTCATTTTGCGTCATGAGAGGTTTCCAAGTCACCTCTCCGTGCAAGTCGGCCTTTTGCGTCTGTTAGTGTTTGGCCAGTTGAGCGCAAAGGATAATTGTTGGCTCTCCAACTAAGGCAGAGAGAGAGAGGGGGGAGGGGAGAGAGACATACATGCAGAGATAGACAGCGAGAGAGGGTTACGCATGCGGCTGTGTGTTTCACCTCTCTCTCTCTCTCTCTCTCTCTCTCTCTCTCTCTCTCTCTC